CGAGACGGTCTTCAGTGAGCTTGACGAGGGTGAGAGCATTCTCCCTGACCTATTGCGTTCAAGCTCGTCAAGCTCAGTGAGCCATCACGGATTTAACTCACACCTCGTCATAGAATGTGACCAATCTTGTCGGGTTCACAAGCTCCATTCTAATTCCAAAATATGGCACGCCATGATTTGATTGATGCCCTTAGAGCTGTTCATGCGTTCACCCCCCAGCTTGATGACGAGAGATACATTCTTTGTTACAGCACCGACCACCAACGCAATTGTTCAGACGCAACTCCTCTTCCGAGAAGGAAAACAGGATAGGTCTTCCAGTCCAAGTAAACCCGACTTCTGCACGGATGTTTGCATGATTGGGTCGTCAAGAAAGCTCACGGACGATGCGAAAAAGAGCAACAATCAGGGCACTGGCGCCCCCTCGGGTCCCAGCTCCAGTAACGGGTGGACAGCGCAAGCTGTTCATTTCAGGGCCTAGCAACCCTGCCGTCTCGTGAGCTCCTGCTCGTTGTCCCGCTACCGGGCCCCTCACCCTTCCTCATCTCATTTGATCGGGGTCGCCGTGTCCCCTCGCCCGCGTCTCCGGGTTGATCAGATCCTAGTGGCTGAGGGGCGCGTCGTGCGGGTCAGTCACGGCGCTTCCTAATACTCCACTTTGGCCAGAATATCCGGGGGCGTGGGGGCCCCGTAGGGCCCCATACGGGTCTAGCGGCTTGTCGCTCGCACTACGGCTGGGACGAGTGGGCAAGCTACTCCTTGTGGATCTCTGCTTGGGGTGCCTGGCCGTTCGCGGCAGCTTAAGGGGTCAAGAGGCGGCGGCGCTGAACTACGGCCAGGACAAGGAGGGATCTCCCCTGCCACACCTGCCCGTGTGGGAGGCGTCGTTCGCCCCGTACAGCACCGGGGCAGCCCTGGCGGTGACCAACTCCAGATGGAATGTTAGGGCCGTCCCCCATCTAGGCTCGAGGTGGGTTGGGAGCCCCGGTGCCGTATGCATAAAATCGCGCATGAATATCTCATCACTGAAACACATCACCAGCGACTCCCCCCCCCCCCCCCCACGCCGACACACCAGCCCGAGCTGGAGACCCCAATGCCACCGAATCTGACTTACGTGTCCGCTCCAAGCGCTCGAGTGACTTGCTTCGCGAAAAAGGCTATGCACTCCAAAAGACGTGCGTACGCGGACGGCACGATAGAGGTATACCTTGCCAATGACGCAGAAATCCGACGCGTGTTAGCAGCCAAGCAGCTCACTTACTCAAGGGAGAGGAGGCACGAACGTGCCGATCACTGTCACACCGCACCCTGCAAAGAACATTGCGAAAGGAGTGATGTCATGTTGGGACCTCGGAGGAGTGTCTGGAGGGGAAATAGTCGATGGCCTAGGGAGACATGGAGCTACTGCCGCCAGACCAATCCGGAGGAGGGAGAACGGAAAGGACGCAATCATCTTAACTTTCAACAGGCCGAATCCCCCGTGGAAAGTATGCACCCCGCAATACCTGCAAGTATGTGCGTGCCTGGTCCTGTCACCGCTTCAGGCGTCAGAATTATGGACATGTCACTGACAGGTGTCACAAGGAAGTTAGATGCAAGCGGTGCTCTTCGTTCCAGCACCAGTTTAGGGAATACACTTCTGATGATATCCGAAAATTTTATTAGTGCCGTCTCAACCATCATTCAGTGACCGATGGGCATCAAATGATCGTTGAGTGCAGATCATCTCGGGAGGCAAAAATGTTTGATGGCCATGCAGAAGTGCATTAATGAGTTTTTGTTTTATGATTAAGTGCATTTGGAGATATATTGCAACCTTTTGTGAAAGATTCCACTCCAAGCGACAATTAAAACGGTCCGAAATTTCGTCGATGACAGAAAAGGCGCTTTTCTCACCTCTCAGAGCGTCTCCCACGGGCAGGTCCTCCGGTGTTACCGGGACCAATGGGCCCGCCCCGTGTGCCGCCGCCTAGGTCACAAGGGCGGCGCTCGTCTCCATCTCCGGACCGCGCCTCCAAGCGCCCCCCCCCCCCCCCCGCCCACCCTGATCGGCATCGCCGACAGAGGGCAGGTGGCAGCCCGCGGGCCCGTCCAAGGAGCCAATCGGGTCCTGCAGAACTCTGAGGAGCGCGAAAGCCATGCAGTTGGTCCAGTCGCTCTTCGTAGAAGTACGGCCACCGAACATTCTTGAAAATGACTTGCAAGGCGCGTTTCGCCGAAAATCTGCTGCGGTCGCAAGTCTGCAAGAAACGAAGCTGGCATCGAACAGGGTTTTCAACTTGCGATGCTACACGATTTACAAGAAAGTGTGTACCTTCCTTCCACTTTCGTTCCACTTCCACCTTCCTTCCACGTTCACCTTCCACTACGGTGGCCCATGGAGGCGTGGCCGTGGTAGTCTGCCACAGTGTGCCTTCGAGGCCGCTCTGCTTCTGTACCACGCTGCAGGCGGTAGCAGCATCCGTGGGCAGGAAGTGTTTCACCGTTACTGTATGCTTTCTGTACATACCACCCACTTCAGATACATCCTTGATGGACTTCAAAACTTTTGCCGATCGTCTACCGCCACAGTGTGACCTGCTGTGAGACTTCAATAGCCCCAACACAGTCTGGGGAGCAACACACACCGGCCATAAGGGGCGCAATGTTGAAAGTGTCTTAAACAGAACTAACCTTTGCCTCCTGAAAACGGGCAAGGCAACGTCCATCTTTGTATCGATCCGCTCGCCTGGCCTGCGTTCACGCCTGTCCTGGGCTGTCGACAGAGAGCCGTTGGGCAGCGACCATTTCCCAATCTGGCTTGGCATGGCAGCCGACGTGAAGTTGGGCACGAAACCCACGAGGTGGGATTTGCACACGGCCAAGTGGGACAGGCTTGCAGAGGGCTGTAGCATCAGCATTACACCCAAAGACACTGATTCTGCCCCAACACTGATGAAGTCATTTACTGCCGCTGTGCTGTCTGCCGCGGATAAAAATACCTGTAGGACAACTGGTAAGCCCGGTCGTCCCCTGTCCCCTGGTGTACCGATAAGTGCAAGGAAGTGATACAGGCTAGGGAGCGCGCTATCAGGGAATTTACCCATAACCCGACTAAAGCAAATATGATTTCGTTGAAGCTGTTCAGAGCTGTTGCCCGACGCGTGATTTTTAGCTGCTAAACAGATGTTTCGGTGTAAACCGACACACCAATACCAACCATGTGAGGAGCAGAACACAGAGAACCGCAGGCAGGGGCTGCTCTTCGCCTCTGCCCCCCACCCTCGTAGTACCAGGTGCCGCCCTCACATACCCTATTAAGGTTGCAAATGAAAAAGCAAGAACTTTTTCAGAACGTTGCAAGCTCCACACATGCGATCCCGGCTTTACTCGACACCGGAGGCAGTGCCAGTCGTCGCTCCTGGCCTTTCGTCCAAAGGATTCTGAGAGCTACAGCGACCCAGTCACCATGTTTGAGTTGAAGAGGGCTAGCAAACTCTTCGCGACGTAGCATAGGGTCCCGATGGCGTTCGTAGCGCGATGCCCCGTCACCCCCGCACTCATCACTGGGCTGTCTTCTCAGCACATTCAGCTACATGTGGCAAAAGGATGACTCTCCACTGGCATGGAGAGGGGCCATCGTTGTACCTCTGCTCAAGGTCGGAAGGAGAGGTGAGGGCCCAAGCGACCATCGTCCCATAGCGCTCACATCTTGCCTCTGCAAATTACTGGAAAACAATGGCAAACTCTGGTTCGATGTGGTATCTGAAAAAGAACTAACTTCTTTCTATCATACAGTGCAATCAAAAAGTACGCATTTTATAATACCATATTATATTATATATATATATATATATATATATATATATAATATCTTACATAAAGTAGGCACTTTTGTTTCGTTTTTGAGTTGTATATGAGGAAAATAATACTAACCTCCATGCGCAGCCAGCGTATAACCACAGAGCATGAAACCTTGGCACAGGTCATGGCGTATCTTTATGGGTACCTTCTGCAAAACATGCTGAGCTCAAAATGAGCCGTTACACTAGGCAATTTCGGACGCAGCATGCGAAGGCTCGACAAAAAAGTAAATGCATAATGAGGTCACAGTGGATCATCTAAGGTCATATGAAGTCATCCAAGGGTAATACCCTGTCTGCCAGTAGCGGAGATGCTAAACAAAAGAATGCGATGCCTTTAGCCACTTCCTCACTGTGTTTGTATTTTAAGCTGATGACGTCTAACATCATGCACCAACGCACCTGTTATAAGCTTGTTACAAATACATTGTCATGCATCGAAAAGACTGTAATGTAAACAAGAGGCATGCGATCTTCAGTGCCTGTATTTGTGCAATGTACCATTCCTGACCACACGAAGAATCGTGCCGTTCACATAAACCCAGTTAGCACTTGGCATTTTTCATCTGCATGGTATATTAATTTGACCTAAGCTGACCTCTAACCTCTAGGCCATTCTAAAATGGTATTCTTGTCTGGAATAATTTTGTTCCACAGCTGCACCTTGTAAGATAAACTTAGAAGGACATTATGGACAAACGTATCGTATTTGCTGGTTACTGGTTCACCAATTTTGACCTGATTTGACCTGACCAATGTGGGGGAACAAAAATGGTTGGATCGGACTCCCCCAGCCTTAACATTTATCTCCGTGCCCTCAAAATTGTCGTTGAAGTGTTAACATGAATTTTAACTGCAACCATCCTAACGACTGTTTTTCACTTTTCGGGGCCTCTGGTGACTTCATATTTGACCTAAGGTCACAAATGTTGGTTGCATTCTTTATAACCTGACGATACCTTCCAAACGGTGTCTTTGATTTTCTCATACAGCATCTGGAAATGTGAGATCCTAGGGGAGGGGGGAAGTCAACTTCCCCTGGACGGGTGCCGTTTAAAATATGCCAGTAGTTATAAGGGAATTGCTTTCATCACATCTGCTGCGTGCTGCATTATCTACAAAGGTGGAACATTCCCTCCGACCTTTGTGCGCGCAATGGTTCTGGACGTTTCGCTGGCGGGTCGCCAGGCAAGACTTTGGTGATGGCGCGCGGCAACCGGACATTGGTCTGCGGCGGGCCTGATGGTGGTCCCGGTGGTGGTCCCTGTGGTGGTTTTCCGCTGGTGGTCCCGGTGAGGGTCTGTGGTGGTTCTCGGCTGGTAGTTCTTCGCACTGCTGGCCGGCTTCCCCTCTGAGCTGGCTGCCGTTCTGTCTCAGAAGCTGTGCTGGGGAGCCTGGACGTTCTTGGCGCAGCTGTGGTGGTTCGCGACACCGCCGGCCGGCGCCGACCCGTCCCCCTTCCGACTGGACCTGGCCTCGCCTCTGCACGGCGCCTGCGGGGCGCCCCGTTACCGCTTCGGTATACAGCCCGCGAAGGATTCCGGTGAGTCCAGGCTGTTGTTCCGGTGAGCAGATGACGGCGTCGGTAGTGTCATATTCGGCGTCATGAACGTGGGAAGAGGGTGCATCGGTGGGCACGTCACAGACGTGGGCGCAGGGAGCACAGGTGGGCACGTCATAGACATGGGAGCAGGGAGCACAGGTCCAGGTGGGCGCGTCACGGACGTGGGAGCAGGGAGCACAGGTGGGCGCGTCACAGGTATGGGAGCAGGGATCATAGATATGGGAGCAGGGAGCACAAGTGGGCAGTGCCCCCACACTGTTGACGAGCGTTGGAGTCGAGTCATGTTGGCTAAACGTTGTCTCGAGTCCGATCAGGTGTCAACGTGAGTGCGACCTAATAGGACCTAATCCGGATCCTTTCGTGGCGTGCATGAAAAGGTGTGCAAAAAGGCAAAACAGAGGGCATTGCGTGCTCACATTTTTGATGATTCTTTCTACGTTCTTCCACATGGATTCGTTGCGAACCCTGGTGGATATTTTGTTCAAGCGGCACTGTGCACAACACAGCTTTATACTGCAATGCTTAGAAAAGGCGGCGAGGAGTTGAGGATTTAGGGTTCAGGGATTTATATATAAATGAGATCTTTAGACTGATAGAACCTGTCCAAACAATTTTCAGATGTTGCCAGGGAGGGACTTCCAGAAACTTCGTTTGACAAGCCATTCTAGTGATTCACTATTATTGCACTAAATGACTTTTGCCTTTTTCTAGTTCTTCTCGCAACATTTGTGAACTTAATAATTTTTTTTCTAAATATCGGCCTAATTTGCAGTGTCAGTGTAGTTCTACCTTGTCTATTCCTCTCATAATCTTGAACGTCTCCCTCAGATCCCCTCGAGGTCTACAATATTTCAGTGAACGCGATCCCAAGACTCTAAACCAATCCTTATAATCTAAGCCGCCAACCCCACTTATCATTCTAGTTGCTTTTCGCTGCATTCTTCCCTGCCCATTTATATCTTTTTGGAAGCATGTGGACCACACCTGTACAGAATACTCTAGGTGTGGTTCAAAATCGACCAAGCACAACTTTTTGACAACATTCCCGCTTTTGTGATGGCCATTCCTGTTCAAAAGTCCCAGCATACGAATTGTCTCGCTCCTAGCGGCCCCACATTGCATTTCAGCCATTAGATCATTGGAAATGATAACCCCCAAGTCCTTTTCTTCCTTCATCTGGTCAAAACACGGGCGTCCCATTTGATAGCTGATGACCTCATTGCCAAAACTGACCTGATGCAAAAACAGAACTGCCTTGATTTGAACTGGCTGAACTGCCTTGAACTATTTTCCTTGATCTGGTCAAAACACGGGCGTCCCATTTCATAGCTGATGACCTCATTGCCAAAGCTGCCCTGATGCAATAACAGAACTGCCCATAACTGGACGACATCTGCCAAAAAGAAGCTCAGTTCACTAATTTCTTTAAGTCAAACTGAACACTGTTCACCTGGTCTGTATTTTCGACAACCCTCCCAATTCAATGTTGTCAGGAAGTTTTAGCGCCTTACTCCCTAATCCTTTCTCGGAATTATTCACAAAAACAATAAAGAGCAAATGATCCAACACCAACCCCGTCCAACCAAACCCAGTCTCTACCAGCCCCCCACTGAGATTTGGTGCCACTGAGCACTACATTTTTCTGTCCAAAGCCAAGCCCTCACCCAGCTAAGAACAATTTCCTCAATGCTACGCAATTTTAGCTGATATATCAGACACGGGTGAGGCACCTTAACGCATGCGTTACTAAAAACTAGGTAAACAACATATAAACCACTGTCTTTATATATCTGATTATTAGCATGTTCCATGGGTTCAAGAAGATTGATCATACAGGACTCCCGGAAAGAAAATCATGCTGACTGCGATTTATAACTGATACCTATCAAGTGTGGTTGAATGCTACCCTTAATTAGATCCTCTAAGATCTTACATACTTGTGAGGTTAGGCTGATATTTCCGTAGTTGCAGAACTTTTGGCTTACATTGGTACTACGTTGGCATTGTGCCAGTCCTCGTTAACTTCTAGGAAACTTAATAATTTATTAGGTACTAACCAAAGAGGATAAGCTGAAGTGCTAACGCATTCGCTCAGCACTCTATCATACAGCTGGTCAGGTCCAGTCGGCTTATTAACCTTGATTTTCTTCAGCTATCCCTTGCCGTACCCTCAGTCACCGTCAAATCTACAAGACTGCCTTCAGTCATATTTTTCCCACTACCAAGGAGATCTCGTAGTCTCCTTGTAAAAAAAACTGAAGAAAGCAACCTATTAAGCCCGCCTACAATATCCCTGTCGTTCTGTAATGACTTATGAATATTCATCTTCCTCGAAGGACCGACAGAAGATCCCTTAGATTTGAAGCTGCAGTAGAAGCAGGTATTATGCCTAGGACCGGAGCGCCTCCTGAGAAGAGTTCCAGGGTGCTAGCGGCCAACGCTAAAGTAGAGAAACTTCGTGACAAGCTTGGCCTGAAGTCTGTAGACAAGTGGGATAGCTTTTCAGTTCTAGAGACCCGTAACAGGGAGATGAACTCCATTTTTCTGAGAAAGCTGATCAAGTCTTGAGTAGGATGTACGAACATGCTCTTCAGGGAAACGGGCTTCTTGGGGTGGGAGAGGGAGCATAGAGCACATCGAGAGTCGTAATTCAAATTTGCTGAACAGAGAGCCAAAAAAGTGTAGAAAAATGTAGGTGCTTCTGCGCAAATCCAAGAACCGCCAGAAACAAGTTTGGCGAGCTCCATATTCACATGGTGGAATAAAGTTTAGATCTGGTAGGCATCATCAATTCTTGGACAGTGAGCACTTTTTGGGACGGCTAACAGAAATTTAAAGCAACTGGTTATACTACGTTTACTTTTCAAAGAAAAGGGAAAACGGAGGCAGAATACTAGTCTATATAAGGCGGACCATAAAATGTGAAATCATAGATAGTATGAAGAAAAGCGATAACGTAGAATTCCCTGTGTCGATTTGGTTATGCTGAGGGCAACAAATTACGTGTTGGAATTTTCTATAAGCCTCCAAATAGTTGTCAGGATGTGGACACAGATAGATGTGAGCCATGGCCTTGTCTGTACAGTACCGCACGTCGGCCACGGCCTTGTCTCTACAGTACCGCACGTCGGCCATGGCCTTGTCTCTACAGTACCGCACGTCGGGCATGGCCTTGTCTCTACAGTACCGCACGTCGGCCATGGCCTTGTCTGTACAGTAACGCACGTCGGCCATGGCCTTGTCTGTACAGTAACGCACGTCGGCCATGGCCTTGTCTGTACAGTACCCGCACGTCGGGCATGGCCTTGTCTCTACACTACCGCACGTCGGCCATGGCCTTGTCTCTACAGTACCGCACGTCGGCCATGGCCTTGTCTGTACAGTACCGCACGTCGGCCATGGCCTTGTCTCTACAGTACCGCACGTCGGCCATGGCCTTGTCTCTACAGTACCGCACGTCGGGCATGGCCTTGTCTCTACAGTACCGCACGTCGGCCATGGCCTTGTCTCTACAGTACCGCACGTCGGCCATGGCCTTGTCTGTACAGTACCGCACGTCGGCCATGGCCTTGTCTCTACAGTACCGCACGTCGGCCATGGCCTTGTCTCTACAGTACCGCACGTCGGGCATGGCCTTGTCTCCACAGTACCGCACGTCGGCCATGGCCTTGACTCTACAGTACCGCACGTCGGCCATGGCCTTGTCTCTACAGTACCGCACGTCGGCCATGGCCTTGTCTGTACAGTACGCACGTCGGCCATGGCCTTGTCTCTACAGTACCGCACGTCGGCCATGGCCTTGTCTGTACAATACCGCACGTCGGCCATGGCTTTGTCTGTACAGTACCGCACGTCGGCCATGGCCTTGTCTGTACAGTAACCGCACGTCTGTATAGTCACATGAAGCAACATGGCGGCACAGACCACATCTGGAGTTGAGAACTCAGCTATGAAGGTTGCGCTCTCAGGGTATCCCACGTTTTGTATTCAGCACACTTCACGGTTAACGAAATCGTTGGCTGTAAAAATGGGCTTTAATCCAAAGAATGTAGAATAGCGCAACAGGATGTAAGTTCAGTATAATAAGGTGCAGAAACGTTGCGATGAGCTTGGCTTCACGTTTGTAGATGAGTGAGGCAGGTGTTTTAGTCGCAGAGACCTGTATAGGACGGATAGATTCCATTTCTCTGAGAAAGGTGTACACGTCCTGAGTAAGGTGTACGAACGTGTTCCTCAGGAAAAACAGCTTCTTGGGATGGGAGGGGAAACATAGGACACCGGGGTACAAAAATTCAAAATTGTGTTACGCTGAGCCAAAGAGGTACATGAAAACTTGGGGCGGTCCATGCAAATGCCAGAAGTATCAGAAACATGTTCAGCGAGCTTCATCCTCATATGCTGGAATACAGATAAGACCTGCAAGCTATCACCGAACCTTGGAACAGTGAACATCTTCTTAAGCACAGTTTACGGGAATTTGAAGCATTTAATAACAATATGCTTCTTCCATGGAATAGTAAAAAATGGGTGAGATATGAGCGGTTATGTTGCAATTCAGGCTCTACAAAGCTCAGCGAGGGCATGTTGTTACATCATCATTATTTAGTCGCCCACGTAACGTCAGGACGATGGTGAGCCATGTCTGGCAGGAGTGTTTTGTGTGTACATATGACCTTGGCTCGCCTCACCCTGTCTATTTCCGGTGTGGAGAAGGTGAATCTTTTTGTCTAAGCCAGAGATTGGCTAAACTAAAAAAAAAAACAGCTGTGTGTGAATTAACCCATGATGCTGTTGAACATATGTAATGAATATACATGCATTAATATGTACATATATATACACACACACACACACACACACATATATATATATATATATATATATATATATATATATATATATATATATAACGTGAAATGAACATATATAACGAACGTATTTGCTATTTGATCGTTGTATTTTGGGGGTATTCCTGTTGTTCTCAACTAGATGTAAATGAATTATGCATGGGTTTATACAAACATACAGGTAACAACTTACAAATATTAAGCAGGCGAAATACTTGAAGCTCGGTGGGCTAGTCTAAGCGGGCTTATGTGGGCATTGCCTAGCGAGGAAGGCGTGGATTTTCAAACTTGTGCTGCGGGACGGGGTGGATTTTCAACCACGTTGAATGCCTTTAAGCAAATAGCAGCAGCAGCAGCAGCTGTTGAGAACGGTTGGCTTCGAGGTGGAGTGGAGCTGCGCAACAAGTTACACACGTGCAGCTCGCGGGCCGTGACATGTTGTTTTCCTTGTGCACATCCGGACCTAAACCATCTCGGGCGGTCTTAGTACCTTAAACGGGATCAAAGCAAGCCAAAATAGTGTTCCTTTCACTTCAGTAGTCAATGTTTGTCTAAACATGTTTGCAAACGGGGTGCTCATTTCCGGCTTGGGATATAACACTGGATTTTGAGGAACGAATTATACCGTATTTTTGTTTGAACCGTTTTCACAGGCCATCGTTTAAAACAATCACTGTGGTTACCAGGTGGCCATTTCGGCAGAGGTGATCGCCTGCCCTTTAGCAGCTCGGCTGATATAGCACAACCACATGCTGCGTAGCATGGCAGTGTCGGGCGGTAATATCAGACATGACCCGACATGCCGCCCAACGATCTGGCATGACCCGACGTGGCCTGATCTGGCATGACCAGACGTGGGCTGATCTGGCATAATCTGACCTGCCCTAACCTGACCTGCCCTGACCTAACCTGCCCTGACCTGATCTGGTGCCCTGTCGGCAGACTGGAGCCCGGACCCTAGCACGCTGATCGCCAACGGCTCCACTGTGGAAGTCCGACGCTTGGAGCGGACCGACAAACACGAGTTTCTGCTCACCATGACCTGTGACGTCACCGGACGGCACACAGGTAGGTCTGCGGGCTAACGCCATCTGTGACGTCACCGGACGGCACACAGGTAGGTCTGTGGACTAACGCCGTCTGTGACATCACCGGACGGCACACAGGTAGGTCTGCGAGCGAACGCCGTCTGTGACGTCACCGGACGGCACACAGGTAGGTCTGCGAGCGAACGCCGTCTGTGACATCACCGGACGGCACACAGGTAGATCTGTGGACTAACGCCGTCTGTGACATCGCCGGACGGCACACAGGTAGGTCTGCGAGCGAACGCCGTCTGTGACATCACCGGACGGCACACAGGTGGGTCTGCGGGCCAACGCCATCTGTGACGTCACCGGACGGCACACAGGTAGGTCTGCGAGCGAACGCCGTCTGTGACATCACCGGACGGCACACAGGTGGGTCTGCGGGCCAACGCCATCTGTGACGTCACCGGACGGCACACAGGTAGGTCTGCGAGCGAACGCCGTCTGTGACATCATCGGACGGCACACAGGTTGGTCTGCGGGCCAACGCCATCTGTGACGTCAGCGGACGGCACACAGGTAAGTCTGTGGACTAACGCCGTCTGTGACATCACCGGACGGCACACAGGTAAGTCTGTGGACTAACGCCGTCTGTGACATCACCGGACGGCACACAGGTAAGTCTGTGGACTAACGCCGTCTGTGACATCACCGGACGGCACACAGGTAAGTCTGTGGACTAACGCCGTCTGTGACATCACCGGACGGCACACAGGTAAGTCTGTGGACTAAACGCCGTCTGTGACATCACCGGACGGCACACAGGTAGGTCTGCGAGCGAACGCCGTCTGTGACATCACCGGACGGCATACAGGTAGGTCTGTGGGGCAACGCCGTCTGTGACGGAGCGATCTGTGCCGGTGCTGGCTGCGAAGAACGTCACGTCGCTGGGCTGTTGCTTACTCGAATGCAGTATATGGGAACGGTAAATAGTGGCATAAAACAGAAGAATGAGGCAGTAAAGTAGCACTATAATATAAACAAACGTTTGTGCAATATGATAAATTACTGGTGTAATGTAGTGCAACTGCAATATCACATGGTATAAACACTAGGATGATAAGTATAGTGTGGTATTATTGTGATATAGCGCGCTACTACTAAAATTTAGCATAGTTAAATGCAACAAGGTATTTACAAATAGTAGATAGTTGACGGAAATAGTACGAAAGTATAGTTGTCGGAAGTAGGAAGTACGTAAGGGAGGAAATTTTACAGTTGTGTGGCCTACGTCTTTATGTGAAGCACCAAATAATTCATAAACACCTTGGCCAGATGCTCCCTCGGACTGCCCAGTCATTCAGTGGCCTCATTCTATTACAGAAGTGGCATTGCAAGTTTTGGAGGGACGATTTGAAAGCAGTAGGCTTACAACATAAGCAGTGCGGCTGCCAGTATTGTAGCCTGCATCCGCTCAGTAGGAATGGACATGAGGCGCTCTCGGGAACGGCATTGGCCTTTGGTCTGTCACGCTGACCATGGCCCGCATTGCCTATGGGCTCTGAATTCCTAGTCGACAGCTGGCCATCGTGTCTGCATTTCATACTCGGCGATGAATTCGCCCAGGGCGAGCTGCGATTTAATCAACGCTAAAAGCGATTTATATCAGTACCTTGCCCGCATCGACCTTCTTCAGAGCGTCGAGTAAAACTCGATGGATCTATTTCAGCGTCGACAAAGGTGAAGTTTAGGACCTCGCCTTACCGCTAAAACTGCCAATTTGGAGCCAAAAGCCGTTGAATGTCACTTAACTCACCATTTCGCTGGAAGGAATATTGCCAAGCGTTTGAAAACATCACGTGCTATCTAATTCACTAAATGAAAATGCGCGTTGTCTGCGGGCGCGTGTGCAGATTCTCCGTTGCCAGACACACAGCGCCGGCGGCTGCACGGGTTGCCGTGAAGCTCGCACCAGGAACCGGTTCTCACGTTCATTATGATCCACTACTGAAATTTCCGCCCAAAGTATCAAAGGGAAAGTACCAGTGTTAGTCGCAGTGCGCGATGCAGGAACGCATGTTTTGGCATAAAACTAGGATATCCTTTCCGTGTATGTAGTGGAAACAAGTTGTGCATAGACCAGGCCGTAAAGAACGTGCCGCGAAGCCCTGGCAACGCTGGGTGTTGGCCCCCTGCACGCAGAGCATTGCCAACACTCGTAAACTTTGAACAACTTGCCAGAACATGCTGTACATCATTGAGATGCAACGGCATGTCATGGGGCTGGGGTGGTGCTATACAGGCATCAACGGCATACTATCGGGCTGGGGTGGTGCTATACGAACATCAATGGCATATTATGGGGCTGGGGTGGTGCTTCACAGAAATCAACCGCGTGGCATCTCCGCGCCGCAAAGCAAGCGGTGGACGCAGCTTGACGACATCTAGTAGATGTCCCGAGTGTGCAGAGCGGCATCGCACAAACCGTGAGTTGGATCCATACATGGGCGTTTGATGGCCCGATAGAGAACATTCCGGAGCTTCCAGCGACTTGCTCCAAACTGCTCCGTAGAAAGCAGCAAGACCTGGCAACTGAACAGTTTTAAAGTTTTTAAATGTTTGTGAGATGCTAGATTGGTTCGTAGTATTGTTGTGCCAGACACGGCATGAACTCACTCCATGTTATTTTGGCGACCGCTCTAAATTACTCGCTCCAATCAGGCTTTGCATTCAATGCACAATATCATTCTATGTACACATTTGCCAGCGCAGCAGCGGACCTCGTTGCCATTGAGCCACCAGTAGGGCTTGGTAGTAGGAAAAGATTGCGGCCCTCGGGGAGTGCCTCAAGCCGTCAGCTGTAGGTCAGGTAGGGCACAAACCTTTCAGCCGTTTCCAGCGGCTGAAAGGAAGGAGAGGGGACATACAAAACGCTTATCTCGTCAGTCGGGAGCTAGGACCCGACTGACACCCGTCCGCGCCCCGTGCCTGACCTCTGCTGGGACCCGACTGACGCCTGTCCGCGCTCCGTGCCTGACCTCTGCTAGGACCCGACTGACGCCCGTCCGCGCTCCGTGCCTGACCTCTGCTGGGACCCGCCTGACGCCCGTCCGCGCCCCGCGCCTGACCTCTGCTGGGACCCGCCTGACGCCCGTCCGCGCCCCGCGCCTGACCTCTGCTGAGACCCGACTGACGCCCGTCCGCGCCCCGTGTCTGACCTCTGCTGAGACCCGACTGACGCCCGTCCGCGCTCCGTGCCTGACCTCTGCTGGGACCCGACTGACGCCCGTCCCGCGCCCCGTGCCTAACCTCCGCTCGACCACGTGACTTAGACTAGCCCGCAGCGTCGGCGGTCGGGGAGCGGCCGTAACAAGCGGCGCGGTGTGCGGTGCATGGCGCGGGCGCGACGCCCACAACACAGCACCTGGACACCGCATGCACTGCACCCAGATGCAACGGTACAAACAAACACTGTGACCAGGACAGTATTGCACTCATGCAACTACACAAACGTGAAATGGATAAACCACGTGCATCCAGCGAATGGTTTTTAAATTTTTAAACGAGGCCCTTCATAGGCATTGATTTTCATTGGCATTGGCCTTCATTGACTAACTTCACACGCTTCAGCCCATGCTTTTATTTCCCCCAAATGTTACGAATGTGCTAGGCCTGGAGGTCATTAATATGAATCGGTCGAGGCCGTTGGATGCTGGCCGCGGCACTAATGTTTACATCTGCGCTGTGTGAAGCAAGGCGGGTTTGGGGGAGAATTTCATTCAAGGACCATTCATCTAGGATCATGTTAAGGTATGTAAGCCTTGTAAGCTTTGTAATTACTGTAATCAAGCTCTAAGAGTACTATAAATAAGCTCTGCAGGCACTGCGTACATATGAAGAGGGACGCTACAAGGATATGGGAGTTTGTCTTGTCGCGCCTGCGTCAGACGTCAGAGAAGCCACCGATTGTTTGTATAAAGTTTTGCAAAGGTTCTGTAGGAAAAGATCTGACATCATACCAGCCCATGAAAATGTAATCTTCTTTAAAGCCAGCCAACCGCAATTTTAGCAAATAATCTTTACAGACATGTTTTTACATATCTGTGAAGCATTTCTAAGCGAAAATCAGTGCTAAAAGGTGTGTGCCGACAATAGATAATGCTGAAGTTTCCGTTTAATTACAACAAGTTTTACAACGCAAGCTTTCGTGACAACGGCCGATAGCTTTCGTGACAACGGCCAATAGCTTTCGTGACAACGGCCAATAGTTATGACTTGACGAGCTTTATCCCAGCATTCTCAACACCATGGAAGCTCGCATGCATTTGAGAAACATGCTGACCTAGAAGCAGCTGTTTGGGACCTCCTCAGATTCTTCATAACCTCACGCATACGATAAAAGCGCTGCCCAAAGCTTTTGACAGTTTTCTGTCACCGACCAGCCTTAGCTAAAGCAGCCAGCGCCTGGCGCACGAGGGCGCCAGACCGTGACGTCACAAGCGTCACGGAATGCCCTGGGGCACTCCTTTCTGTTCCATGCCGCCAATGACGACACGCCGGACAATGTGAGATGGCCTGCCCCCCCCCCCCCCCACACACACACATCCAGGCCCGCCACAGACAGAAGACGCGTGGCCTTTGGATGGCCGCCTAGATGACCACTGGGATCTTGCACGGTTTTCTCCAGGCACGGCATTCAGACCTAGAGTACGTTGCTGTATTATTACTTGGGCATGCTTTCCACAAAAAAGCGTTTAGGTCGAAGAAAGTGGTGCATAGTGATTTCGGCCGTCATTGTTCCCGACTGATACCACGGGTGGGGTCGGGGCGCGGGATCATCGCAGCACTTAAGGATGGCCATCGAGGCAGACCAGAGTGTTTATGACGAGGGCCAGGGTTGGCTCCGGATGTGAGCTGTGTGCTGTGAGGTAGACCAGAGTGTTTATGACGAGGGCCAGGGTTGGCTCCGGATGTGAGCTGTGTGCTGTGAGGTAGACCAGAGTGTTTATGACGAGGGCCAGGGTTGGCTCCGGATGTGAGCTGTGTGCTGTGAGGTAGACCAGAGTGTTTATGACGAGGGCCAGGGTTGGCTCCGGATGTGAGCTGTGTGCTGTGAAGCAGACCAGAGTGTTTATGACGAGGGCCAGGGCTGGCTCCGGATGTCCCCGTGGTGCGCCTGACACGCCCGCCATCTGCGCTACTCACACTTTCATCGCGCGCCTATACCCTATCGACAGCGTTGGTATGCGTCACGGGCTTTCCTCGGGCCGTTCCGACGTCATTAACTGTAACCAATCTCCTTTATGGTCATGTGTCGATCTCATAGGCAGATACTCGCCGCCAGATGTTTCCGAAGTTATCATGGCCGCGTGCTTGCTCAGAAGTTAGATTTATGTTCTTGAATGTTGAGCGGCCGCGGTGGTCCCGCTGTTGCAGGAGTGAGCGATAAAGGGCGGAGCTGCCGCTTAGAGCGGGAACCGCTTAGAGCGGAGCGGCAGCTTAGAGCGGGGGCCGCTCAGAGCGGAGCGGTCGCTTAGAACGGAGGTGGCTTAGAGCGGAGGCCGCTTAAAGCGGAGCGGTCGCTTAGAGCAGAGCGGCCGCTTAGATGTTGTTTGTGCCTGCTCAGCCTGAAGGCTGGACCCATTTGGTGTTGAACTACATCCCAGGGAGTGACTCAGGACGCCGGCGTGAATGACGTTCCGTCAGGTCACGGCATGACGGCTGGAAAATAGGTAGTGATGCAGCACTGTGACGGCTGGCACGTGAGGTGAGACGTCACAGTGTGGCGAGTGACGGGTGTGCCTTAACGTCGCTGCGGAGAAGATGGCAGGTGTTGTGACGTCACATTGTGATGGCTGGCATGAGCACTGTGACTTTCAGTGGGGCAGGTTTCAGATGACAGTTATGTGTGTGTGTGTGTGTGTGTGTGTGTGTGTGTGTGTGTGTGTGTGTGTGTGTGTGTGTGTGTGTGTGTGTGTGGGTGTGTGTGTGTGTGTGTGTGTGTGTGTGTGTGTGTGTGTGTGTGTGGTGTGTGTGTGTGTGTGTGTGTGTGTGTGTGTGTGTGTGTGTGTGTGTGTGTGTGTGTGTGTGTGTGTGTGTGTGTGTGTGTGTGTGTGTGTGTGTGTGTGTGTGTGTGTGTGTTGTGTGTGCGCGCTGTGTGTTATGTTGCGCCGTGCTGTGGTGTGTTGTGCGTGGCGAGGTGCGTGTTGTGTTCACTCACTTCACTGTGCTGTGTTGTGCTGTGCTGTGTTGTGCTGTGCTGTGCTGTGCTGTGCTGTGCTGTGCTGTACTGTGCTGTACTGTGCTGTGCTGTGCTGTGCTGTGCTGTGCTGTGCTGTACTGTGCTGGGCTGTGCTGTGATGTGCTGTGCTGTGCTGTGCTGTGCTTTGACTGTCACAGGTGTCCGGGCCCGGCAGGTGAACTTGCGGATTTCTTGTAGCGGTGGATCGTACTCGAAAGGATAGGGCGCTGTGTCACAGAGCTGAGCAAAACAGTGCTGAGAACGACTATGCTGAGATGCTGAGAAGGACTGCGCTGAGAACGAATGTGCTGGGAACGACTTTGCTGAGAAGGACTATGCGACAGTTCTTCCGCATCTCCTGTACATCAAATAACAAAGCTCTTGGATAGTGACACTTGCACCTCAGAATGCTGAAAAAATGTTTGTTGGTCTCAGAGGCGCTGACTCCATCTCTAAATAATGTTCTGTTTTGGTATTTGTCATCCCCATTTGTTCTTCTTTCTTCTTCTCCCTCACCTCACATTTTCTCCCCTCCTCCCCTTCCTTTCTTCTCCCTGCATGCCTTCCTTCCTTCCTTCCTTCCTGTCTTTCTTCCTTCCTTCCTTCCTTCCTTCCTTTCTTTCTTTCGTTCCTTCCTTCCTTCCTTCCTTCCTTCCTTCCTTCCATCCTCCCCCCCCCCCTCCCTCCCTCGGTGGGTTCGTCCTGCGACGCCGCGCAGGGCTAAAGCCAGGCTCCTCGGTATACATACACAACCGAGGCGGGACAAAATCACTGTGCAGCAGAAGCTGAAGCTGAAGCTTCCTTTTCGCGCAGGCCTGCAGAAGGTCGTGAAGGTGGACGTGCTGGACCGCAATGACCACGGCCCAGAACTGTACGACGACCGCGACCTGGCCCACGATGTCTACCTGTGCGGACGGCGGAACATCAGTAAGGTAAGCCAGGGGCGGAATAGCCCTGCACTAGGTGGCAGCACGGCGGATCTGAGCCTGAGACCTGGGTTCGGCTCCCGTCTGGCGCTGGCACCGTTTGGAGCCCACGTGGCCGCTATGTTGCATGACCTGGGCTCGGCTCCCGTCTGGCGCTGGCACCGTTTGGAGCCCACGTGGCCGCTATGTTTCATGACCTGGGCTCGGCTCCCGTCTAACGCTGGCACCGTTTGGAGCCCACGTGGCCGCTATGTTTCATGACGTTTTCAGGGACGTTAAGCCTTTACGGTGCTGCTGGTAGTTACATGGGGATAAAAAAACGGCAACCGTATTTGGGACTGAAGCCAGACTAATTTAAGCAATGGTAGTAGATGACGATTTTCTGCTTATATTATCATAAGCTTAAATGTTGTGAGGACGGGTAGGTTGAGCGGTGACAGACCGGAGCGATCGAGGGCTCATCTCGGATGGCTAGGTAGCAATGTTTAGGCCAGCGCACGAAGCGCTAAGCCAGACGCTTGTATTTTTTTTTTGGGGGGGGGCGGGACATTGAGACAGAAATGCAAGGTAAGCCGCTCCCGACCGGACAGACGCAGGTGAAAAAAAAACACAATAGGCGTGTCATTTGATGTCATTACATTAAAGGAGCAACTACTAAACGCATGGATGGAGACAGATTGGATGGACGGCTACTGCATGCGATGGCATCATAATGATGGATGACGGTGATGATAATGATGATGTCGATGACGATATGTTATAAGTGTTTATGATGATGATGTGATTATCACAAGCGTTATTCTTATTCTTGCTCTTACGTCTATTCTTACTTTGATTCTTATTCCTACTTTTATTCTTATTCTTATCCTGTTCTTTGTTCGTCTTATTTTCATTATCATGATCATTATTATCCTTGTATCACGTTCGTAAAATTAGCGCACGAAACGGGAACGAATGATGCATTTGTTCTACATGCGCGACAAGCAGTTTTCCAAAAATGGATGCCTGATAGAGCAGCCGCAAGTCACCGCTGGAACGCTCGGACAAGTGGGATCAATCCGCGGGCGGCGAACGGATCCACGGACGGTGAACGGATCCACGGTCGGTGAACGGATCCGTGGGCGGCGAACGGATCCACGGACGGTGAACGGATCCGCGCATGGCGAACGGATTCGCGGGCGGCGAACGGATCGGCGAGGCGGATCGGGTCGGGCAAGACAATCTGGACCCGGCACGGACTAAGACCTACCGTAATTTAGAAATCGTCACGCTACACGTATTGAGCTGATTGCAAATCAACGAAAAATCAAAATATTGAAAGTTACTGGAAAGCATTGAGCTAATTGGGACCTATATTTCGCATTTGTTCTAAGTTTAAACGTATACATGCATGTACGTCATACACAAACACATACGAGATGCAATGATCCAATATGTAATGTCCATAAGCTGAACAGATGACATTTATACAGATCGATGCTGATTTGTAAACGCATATGCTTCTGAGTTTAACCAGACTGATTGGATTCGGAAATTTCAGAAAATCTAATTGCGATACAAACTGCATCCGAAGATGCGAACCGGATTGGGGCGGATTCTACAAACCTAGCGTGACGTGATGACGTGCGTTAGTGCGATGCGATGACGTGCGTAGTCACCACGACGACCGCTCAATTCTTAGTGCGGCCAGCTGACTGCATCGCCCACCCGTGTAGACAGCTCCTGAGAACAGGGCCTGCTCATCAGAGGCAGTTCCTGAGCACGGGGCCTGCTCATCAGAGGCGTCTCAAAGACAGTCTCTGCCCAGCCGGAACTGACCCTCGCACGGGCACACCAGCGCTCCGGTGCTACCGGATCTTCCCCGCTCGATACCGGACTCCCCTCCCCCTCCCCCAGCGAGCTGTCGCTGGAAGCAGGCGGCGTTATGAGCATCGTAGCAGCGAAGCGTAGGCGTAACATTCGGTTAATTAGCAGCGAAGCCCGTCCATTTGCAGCGGTCGCCACGAATGTGAGTGGTTGGGGGAGGGGGGGGGGGGAGGCAAACTCATAAACGCTCCACAATATATTGCGGCCTGTTGCGTCGGCACGAAGATTGCGCTTGCTCGTTCAAAGACTGAGGGTGGGATTACATGCATTTATGGGTCGTGAGTTGTGTGCGTTGGGGAAGAGGGAGAGGGGGGGGGGGGGGGAGGTTGTTGGCGCATGATGGCTGATTGTATATTTACAGTGGGTTATTGTCAGTGTGTGACAGCCCATTGAATATGTAGTGGTCAACGCGTCTGCGTTAACCACTGCGGGTCTGGGAAACCAGAGGTACGGGGTTTGATTCCCTGCGGTGCCCGCCCTTCCTGCCAGGGTGAGAGGCAGACGACGCCATATAGCCTTAGCAGCTGAGTGCATCGTAAAGCCCCAATGACATGACATGACAGCCCATTGAATACATGCGATTGCTTAAGGCAAGCAGATAGTCATGAATGGTGCCGGGAAAACCGCCGAGTGTGGCCATATGTCTGAGTGTAATCATGTGAAGGCCACAACAGGTCACAAGATAACGACCTAGTGGCAGATGGGTAAGGGGTGAAATCATATGTGTCAGGAGAAGTGTCAGACGTGAAAGTATGTGTCAGGAAAGCACTGAGCACTACATCATGTATGCCCAGTGCTGGCAGTGCTACCCTGAGAAGTACTGCTGCTGTTCCTCTTGTGAAAAGATGTGTGGACCGTCCCGAATCGCGAGGAGCCAGTCTTCATGGAAGCCGTGGTGGGTCAAATACATTCCTCTAACTTGATGCATTTCTTCAAAGACATGTGCTCGGTGTGCTGCGGAGTGGTCAGATGTCTGAGATTTTATAATTGCAGAGCGGTCAAATGGCTGAGATTTAATGACTGCAGAGTAGTCAGATGTGTGAGATTTCATGGGCATTTGTTTCCCGCCCAAAAAGCAATACTGTAGGTAGTCCTCTTACACTGCAGCTGATTATTGAATAGCTACGTCCCTTTTCATGGTCTTGGGAGACTTAGGACGTGGCCATAAGGTTGAGGTTACTGGACTCCAGTCAGCCTCGACTTCAGCCTGCGCATAACGCTCAAAATGATTTCGGCAAAGGACATATTCACATATGTATCATATTGCATTGTTCTTCTAAGTAATCGCGTGCCGTGTGGTACATTTTGAGACATTTGAGCTGTTCGCAAGACATGCATTACGATAAATTATTCTGACATTGTGGCTTCCCATTACGACGTTCGATGCATCAAACAACGGACAGCTGGATTGACTTTACCTACAGCCAACCTCGCCGGAAATTTTCTGTTCATTCGTGCTGATCATTAGTGTGTACTTGCGACTGGGAGTCTTGTTTGTTTCGAACCTACCGTAGGTCCTCCGGCGGACGGCGTCCTGCGCGATGATGTCAGCAGCTTCCTCGGTGGGCTACGCTTTCCGGACCATTGTGCGACGTGCATGAAGGGCAGCAACCGTTTTTCTTTCTGGTTTTCTTCTTCTGTCTTTCGTTGAAGTAAATCGTCGTGTTTTTGCTCGTAGTCTGTAAATATACACAAAACATCCCCGCCGTTTATTCCGTTGTGCTAACAGTTCTACTAAGTCGCTCATATTTCAAGGGGGCCGTGAGTTACCCCGAAACGCATTACATTAGCACAAGTTGCTGTGGGCGAACTTCCGTGACCAAAAGTTCCTGGGGGCGGAGCAGCACTGTCCCCAGTGGTGGTCAAGCCCATGTTACAAGGCTGGTGGTCAAGCCCATGTCACAAGGCCGGTGGTCGTTACGCCCGTGTCACAAGGCCAGTGGTTGTTAAGCCCATGTCACAAGGCCAGTGAGGCCCATGTCACAAGGCCAGTGGTGGTCATGCACGTGTCACAAGGCGATGAAAGCGATGTCCAATGCCTGCAGCCTGACCCTGCTGAAATGCCTCGTTTGGCAGCAGCGCCCGGGCGCATCTCCCCGCTGCTCGGTGCGCTGTTCCCTGGGACTTGTCGTGTGAATCAGCTATATTCATGCACTAGTAACCACTGCAACGTCGCTCAAATCATCAGGGCTGCTACCCATTTTCAGTCAGTGGGCCTATCGACAGAAATCGCAGCAGAATCCAATGTTACTTACTAACTGCGCAGCACCCCCCTCCCGGGCGTCTTCCTCTCCTTTAGTCCTAGAGGGCTCCTGATTGCACTTAGTCAGGATACCCCGAACACGAGCCTATGTAAACTCGGAGAACGTCTCGAGCTTACACCTGGCCGTGTTCTAACGAGAGCGCAGGTCAGGGCCTCTCGGCGATGACCAATCAGCGCTGATGTAGGCGCTGCTCCGTTCGGCGACCCTGCCGCCGGCTGCTAGGATACGTGATAGCGCTGGTGTAGGCGCTGCTCCGCCCGGCGACTCTGCCGCCGGCTGCTAGGATACGTGACAGCGCTGGTGTAGGTGCTGCTCCGTTCGGCGACCCTGCCGCCGGCTGCTAGGATACGTGACAGCGCTGGTGTAGGCGCTGCTCCGCCCGGCGACTCTGCCGCCGGCTGCTAGGATACGTGACAGCGCTGGTGTAGAAGCTGCTCCGCCCGGCGACTCTGCCACCGGCTGCTAGGATACGTGACAGCGCTGGTGTAGGCGCTGCTCCGTTCGGCGACCCTGCCGCCGGCTGCTGGGATACGTGACAGCGCTGGTGTAGGCGCTGCGTGGTGTAAACCCCCATTGACCGGTTAACTGTGTCCTGGGATTTGAGATGGGCATGTCATCGTCACGCTGTTGATGACGTCATGCTGTTGGTGACCTCACGGGCATCGCTCGGCATCCTCGGCGATTTTCCACGAAGTGTTCGGCTTGCGGATCTAATCTTACCAACACACATCAGGGATATTGGACATGGCTTCCTGATAGTTGGAAAGTTTGCCTCATCACCTGGTCCAAACCCATCCGCGTCATCTGATCGACACTCATCTAATTGGCCCGACCGGAAGAGGCAAACTCTCGGCGGCAGACATCCCGGATTTGGGA